AAAACCCCACCAAGTGCCTGAGTCTTTGCTGGTCCATATAGTTTGAACAGAGCTGGAAGCCAATAATGGAACAGAAGGATGCTTGTGCCAAGTGTAGTTTCTCTGTGAGGTTTACAATGGAGTGTAGTGAGAGGATTTCAGTTGATGTTGCTAACGGACTAAAAACCATTGAAACATATCTTGGCAGGATGATTTCAATGTCCTTTCTTTGTCCCTGCTCCCCAGTGGTGAGCGTGCACAGGGGCCTTGGCACCAGGGATGTAATGAATTCCTTGTCCAGGTTATGGTCTGTATTTGTCCTCAGCTTACCTCCCTCTGTAACTCAACACTTATCCATTCCCGCCCTGTGGTTCCTCATGCATTTTAAAGAGGAAAAGCTGTTTAACAGTCTCCTGGCTACTTATCCAGTAGAATTTCTCTCCAGTAGAATTTTATGAGGATGGTAGGATGATCCCATAAAAGGAGTAGAATTAATATTTGTTATTGATTATAATTTCTGTGACAAATTAGCATCTTCAGAGGAACATAAGCAGCAGTTACCTGAATAACAAAGACAGCAGAGCTCACATTCTTTCTCCCCTCCATGCACTGAAACAAGAGGAGTAAACTTGCAGCATCCCACATAAGAGATCTCAAAGGGAGTGTAAAGCAATCCCTTGGTTTTCCTTTTTGGGTTCTCTTAGGCAGAGGAGAGCAAGGCCTTCTATCGTGAACCAAGGCTGCATTACCCACCAAAGGCACCTAAACTTTGCCAACAAATGTTTTGTGATTCTGCAGAAAATTTTCACAGCAGAGCATTTCCAGAAAGGTATTAGGCAGAGATGAGGCTTTGATATTTTTAGATTAGGTAGATGATCACTTGACAAGGATACACACACATGACAGACTGCACTGGCAAGTGTCCTGGGCTCCAGAAATTCTAGCAGGTGCTTTGTTATCCTTCTGGAGAAGTTCTAGGCTGTAGATATGGCTTAACTCTCAGTAAATCAGACTTCCCCTCCAACTTTGAAACTAGACTTGCTGAGTGATACTGGGCCAACTTCATTACTGTCTCCCCTTCCACCTTCCCCATGAAAAAGGCCATTGTGATACATCAATCTCTTTTAAAATGCTTTAATAATGAATCTCTGAAATTAAAAAAAAAAATCATAGAAAACATTTGTTGTTTCCAAGCAGGGCTTAGCAGTAACTTCTTGAACCTCTTGGTCTGATGACAGAAATTGTTGTCAGATTTACACAGCTGGCCAAAATCTGAGACCTGATATTTTGTTACCTGCCCAGTACTGCTTGTCACTTCCTGCTAGTGCTGCATTCCATGTGGTTCCTTTTCCCATAAATTATGTGCCTTCAGCTACCTGCAGGTATTTAAATGGTACTTTTCTCCTAAGGAGTTAAAGACACCTTACAAGTACACTATCAGTTTCTCTCTTTTTGCACGAAAGGTTTTATTTAGTCCACATCTTATGGCATGCCTGTATCATGATTAACATAGCTGCTAAATGGAAAGGATGAAGGGTGGTTAAATGACAAACCAATGACACACAGGTGTGTCTGTGGAGTTCATGTGCCAGACATTGGGCTGGGTCAGTGTCTGCTTACAGGTTTGCAAGCTGCATGCAGGTTTCCTGGTAGATTATAACCCCACTGAAATACATTTGATTTTCATCACGAGGCCTTTCAGGCCTTGCTTCATATTCCTGGAATTATGGGAAAATTATTATGGTCTTGATTCAGTAAAAGATTTAAGATGTGTATGCAACACATATTGCAGCATATAGTACATGGAGTGATTCTTGGTAAAAAACACGATACTTGTCAACAATATTTGATATAAACTATGAACTTGATTAAAACCTTGATATAAACTTAATATATATCTCAAAACTGCATCTTGTACAATTTCAGTAGGGTTGGTAGTACTTGTGACAAGGTTGTATCACCTTTCTTGGATGGGATCCATCCTGTTGTTATGCACCTTAGCTTAAATTTTTTTGTTTGTTGCCCTTTTTTTTTTCTTGCAAGAGATGTTATTTGCTGAACTAGAGATGATGTAGTAGAGAAATTGCACTTTCTGTTAAAAGCAGCCCAAGAAGACACAGATAGTGAAAAAGGCTGGGCATATGTGGGACACTAGTTTTAGAAACAAATTTGGTATTGTGTACTGAGGGAAGTGCAATACATTTAAAAACATTGATGTAAATTGAGATAGGGAAGGACCTGGATTTACCAGTTCATCACAGTACAAGTAATCAGAATCTGTGATTCAGCTTCCCTAGCAAGGACTGTGTAGAGCTCTAGAGAAGCCCCATCTGAAGGACCAGTTGCTTTACTGGTTGGGGAGCATTTGTAGCACCTGTGTCATGAGAGGAAGCCAGAGGAGCTCAGCTCACGGAGTGTCACAGAATGGGTAATAAAGGGAATAAAACTCCTGCATAACACTCTTTCCACTGTCAGTGTTATGCAGGAGATACTAATGTCAAAGGACCCAAATCAGAGGAGCAGATGGTTATGAACTGGCCATTTTACAGGAGAAATAGGACTTCTCCTGACTATTTGGGAAATGTGGTTCAGGAACAGCCTTCTAGTGAGAGTTTAGGGATTAAAAAAACATTTTCAAACAGAGTTGATGTCTACCAGCAAAACTAAGCTTAGCCCTGAAAAACCTATTGATGTGATAATGTTCTGAAAACCCCTTACTTGCCTGCCATTTAATTGGCTCTGACAGACTTCTGTAAATGTCCAGAAATGTCCCTCTCTGAACACCTTTGTGTCCATTTTCCAAAACATGGATTAAGAAATGGTACTCTCCCACACTTATGGTCTGAGTAAATAGCATGAGAGCACACATGAAGTGAATACAAAATACAGCACAGCTAGGCCCTTCCTTTAGAAGAGAATGGAAAAGTTACAGGAGTCACAATCACATTTTTAATGAAAGAAGGCTCTTCTAGGAAGTGTGAGATCTGGTTTCATCTTTTCAGCTCCTTCCTTCCCTGTGAACTGAAAGGGGTTCAATTCTTCTTCCTAAATAATGGGAAGCACCTTAAAGACAGGCAGGATTGGGATTAAGACACTCCCTGCTCTGCTCACTGAAATGGTGAATAGATGAAGCTGAATGGCCTAACAAGACAGAAGTGTCTAGAGAGTTACTTAGAAGTGAGAAAACTGGAAATATGGCCCAGTGCTTGTGGTGCTCACTTAGAGCCAGAATTATGGCTTCAAATCCACTTAAAAAGAGCTTGAATTCTGCTCTCATCATGGCAGTGCTTTCTATTAATAAAACGTCTCACAACATAACCTCTCCACCAAATACACCTCTCCTAGGTGTATTTGGAAAGCATGAACTCCTCTTGGGTCTTGGATGTTACAACATCCCATTGTTATGATGCAATGCTGCATGCAGGTAGCTAAAGGGGATTTCTGCAGTCCTGAGTGAGGCAATTAAATCCTCAAGTATTTCAGAGGTGCTATTCTCTGTTTTATTTTCATAGTTGAGCCCTGGGGAGCTCCCTGCTGGGCAAGGTAATTGTTGTGAATTCCCTTCTGAGCTACTCAATCTCTACCAGCATTGCAGGGTGAGCCTAATGGGAACTCAGGGATTTGTGGTGACAGAATCACATACAAATGCCAGTTCTTACAAATTTTAGAGGAAACCTGCCCCTTTTACAGGGAGCTAAACTCTGCCTGGACATGTTCAGATGCATTTAAGAGGACTTGAGGAGAAAATTAATTAGAGCATATCTCTGGCCTGAAATGCAGCACTACACAGAAATATCTGAACTGTTGTTTAGGAAAATAAGCCTGCAGAGCTGAAAGCATGAGATCTTCAGAGTCTTAAAGATTACAAGACCTCCAGAAGTCCACCACTACCTGACAGTTTTGATGCATCAGTCAGCTGGTACTACTGAAATTCTGCTAGATGATGCTGTTCTAGACTTCAGATGGCATTTAGCTGCTTTGCTTGAACTTCTTTCTGTAAAATGCAGGTAGAACACGAAGATAGAATTGTTTGCAGATTGAAATTGCAACCTGAAAGCAGATTATTCTATAATTTTCCCGCTATAAGCCTAGTGTTACTATCATCATGAATTTTCTTTAAGTTCAGGAGTATTAAACAGAGAAGATCATGCGATTTGAATGCCTGCACACGCTGGCCCAGTGGATTCCTTTGAGCCATGGATAATTGGAGTGATTGCTAAGCCCGCACCTCCCACGGCCCGCAGGGGCTGGTGCCACCTCCCGCTGCCCGCCGTGCCTGGCAGATCCCAGATCCCTTCCTTTCCTACCTGCGGATCACGGCGCGATCGGCCCGGCCGGCTGCCGGCACCCCAGCTCACCGACCCGGACCCTCTGTGTCCCACTGATCCCAGACCCACTGTGCCCCGCTGATCGCAGACCCATTGTGTCCCACCGACCCGGACCCTCTGTGTCCCACCGACCCGGACCCACTGTGCCCCACTGATCCCAGACCCACTGTGTCCCACCGACCCGGATATACTCTGCTTCACTGACCCCGCACCCCACTGCACGTCACGAACCCCGGAGCCCACCGGGCGCCGTGCGGCTTTGGAAGGGCTGTGGGCGGGCCGCGCCCCTCTGGACCACTTCGCTCGGGGCAGGACTGGGAGACAGGCAGGGCTGGGGTACCGGCGGAAGCTGCCCGAGGCAAGGGGTCCGAAGGGTCTGGGGGGACCGACGGGTCTGCGGAGAACGGGGTCAGCGACCGACGCGGGGCCCAGGGCGCGGATCGCACTGCGCCTACCCGGGACGGGGGAGCGAGAAGGCGGGGCCTAATTTGCATTTGCCCTCTAATTGGCTGGGGGCGCCTTGTGCCACCGAGCGGCGGCTCGGGATTGGCTGCGGCGCGGCCGGCGGCGGGGGCGCGGCCGTCGCGTAACGCGAGAAGCGGCCGCGCCGGACGCGCTCAGTCGCCGGGCTGCGGCCACCGCCACCGGAGCGCTCCGTCCCCGCCGGCCACAGCGCGCGTCCCGCCGGCGACCATGCTGGACCGCGAGGGCGGCTGGAGCGTGTCCTTCGCCGGCTGCGGCTTCCTGGGCGTCTACCACATCGGCGCCGCCACCTGCCTGCAGGAGCGCGCTCCGCACATCATCCGCGACGCGCGGCACATCTACGGCGCCTCCGCCGGGGCGCTCGCCGGCGCCGTCCTCGTCGGGGGCGGCTCTCTGGGTCAGCGGCGGGGCCGGGGGGAGCGGGGCGAGGCGGGCGGCAGGGAAGGGCCAGGTGCGGCGAGCAGGGCCCGGTGCGGCGCGGGAGGGCGGGCGCGGCCCCGGGGTCGGGCCGCGGGGTTCGCTGGGCCGGGCTGGCTCCGATTCTCTGGTTCTCTTCATCCCTAAAACGTGTGCCCGTGGGTGGCATTAAATCCGAGCGGGGTCCGTGGCGCAGGGAATGATGCTGGCGATGCCCGGTCCGATTCGCACACTTGCGCAGCCGAAAGGTCGGAGTTCCTCCCGTGCGTGTCCCCCTGAGGGGCTGCTCTCGCCGCCGCTGTCCAAAGTCCAGGAGTTACCTGGGAGAGCGGGAGGCAGCCGAGCCCTCACACCCTCCAGAGCAAGTGGGCCAGCCCCGCCATCAGCTGTAAACAAAGTGTTTGCGCTTCGTTGGGAAATGGAGCATCTATCTCCCTGCACGTGAAGTGCCTGGCAGCTTTATCTTGCTTCCTCCAAAGCTGCTCCTTTCTGGGGTAAGGCTAAGAGAGTTAAGGTCAGGGCTTAGGTTAGCTTTAACGCGCTTTTCCTCTCTAATCTGGGCACGGTATATGTTGCAAAGGTCGTTTAGGTGTATGGCTAGAAACAGTAGATTGATTAAAATCACTGATTTTAATTGTCATTTAAACAATAGAGGTAATCTTGTGTTATATTTATGCCGGATTAAAGATGTTAGTTTGAAAAAGAATGTAGTGTGCTTTGTGAAATACACACCTATTTTCTAGCAGTACTAAAAATACACCTTACTTTTACGTACTTAGGGCTCATGAATATACATTTTTCTAATGAATTAAGCTTGATAAAAGCTATCAATATATCGAGGTGTTTAGGACAAGCAACAGGATTGCAGTTTAAAAAACTATATGAAATATCTGAAAATGGTTTTCTTTCTAAACTAAAGGAATCCACTTGTCTATTTCATTACTCCATACTGATTGCTCTTGCTAGCAGCAACCTTGACTGCTTTAGAACTAGAGAATTTTGTAAATTCAGATTTCGTCTTAGAAGAGGAGGAGAACAATGAGTACCTCTTTTGAATTTGGAGAGGTTTGTGGGTTTTGCTTTTAAATTTCTGAGGAAAAACTCCACTGACAGAAACAAGCAGAAGTTCTCTGTAAGTAAAGCAGCAGGAGAGCAATGCTTGTCCCTGCTGCTTTAACTCCTGAGCTTTAGCACATAAGCTTAATTTCTTCAAAGCTTTAGCAGTAAACTTGTGCTGCTTAATTTTTTTTGCTGTAATGTCCAAACATGACACATTTGAGTTATTATGAGCCTGCTATTAGCTTTTGAAACAAATCATATTTTTCCCCAATAGTTGGTATTTTTAGAACATACCAAGTTTTAAGTCTTAAGTCATTGTAAATGATTTGAGAAGGAAACTGTCTTAAATATTTGAAGCACTCCTGAGCCCAGAAAATGTATATTGTTTATTTGGCAGTATGAGTTAATAACAGCTTTTAAATGGTTTAGCACTTTAATAATTAAGAGTTGTAGACTTCAAACTATTTATTACCTTTCCCAATTATTACCAATCTCATATGTCAACTGAGATTTCTGATTTTCTCTAACTAATAGAATTTGTGTGTGGTCACTGTCCAAGGTAGCAGATTCCATGGGCAAGTGTGTTTCTACTCGGGGAAAAAAAAAACAAACAAAGGCATCACTTGCAAAATAATTCAAAACAATCTACATTCTAAAATCTGTGAATTACTGTAAATTGACAAAACTAATAAGGTACTCCCATGCTAATTCTCTGAGTTTCTAGCTGCTGTGTTTTGTTAACTTGTGTGAAAGCAGAGGATGGCAAATAAGGTATAAAGAAACTCTGTTTAACAGTGATAATAGGATATATTTTGTGAGTTTGTATCGTATGCCTCTCTTACTCTGATGTATATTAATGTGCAGTATTTGTGGTTCCTGCAGCTGGAGGTATTAGCAAGTCCTGTGGTTTTTTATCACAGTTGCATTTTCCTGTGGGTAGACAGAGCCCAGCTGTTCCTAGAGGTGAGGGGAAGGATGAGAGGCAGCAGGCACAAGCTGAAACCTGGTAAATTCAGATGAGGTGTAAGGAAAAGACAGTTGCTATGAGAGTGGTAAAATAATTGAACAGCTTCCCAGAGAGGTTGTGGGATCTCCACACTTCGAGATGTTTGGGGTTTGCCAGGACCCAGCTCTGAGCTGGTCTGTGTGCTAGTGCACACAAAACAGGGGGTGCAAATCTGTGAGCAGGGGTTGTGGCTGAAATCTAAGTGCTTATTTAATTTCTTACAGCCTTGCAGTCAGATGTTTTAAGTGAAAGGTTTTCTCTTTGACTCAGATTACCTGCTGGATAGGTGGGGAGTCTGTGGAACTTCAAAAGTGGATAAATACAAACATTCTTCTCATGAATGGAGGAAAAAAGTGTACTTTTATAGACTGACAAAGAGATTTCTCTCATTAAATTTGGGAAGCTTAGCCATGATTGTTTTGAGGATGAAGTGCATTCCAGGCTATTCCAAACTGGAATGTTAAAGTTGCACTCTGTGGATGTCCTGTAGATCTGGTATTTTGATGGTGCTGTGATCATCCATTCCAGTGAGGCACTTAGAGAGAGCAGGTTTAGTGCAGGCTGCAAATACAATGTCAGCTTTTACTCAGTGAAATGAATGGTTAACAAACAATTAAAAATAAGAATGCAGAACTATAACAGGAAACAGTTCCATTTATTAGGAATATTAATTTCTTTAGCTCTCCTGTGTTTCAAAAATAAAACAGATGTACCAAGACCTGTCTAAAATCCCAGTTTTACTTGAGCTCTAGCCCTTAGTCCCTTTTGGAGAAGTTCCTGTTTTGGAATACACCAGCCGCCTAAGAGGTAACTGTATTTTAGTCCTGTTGGAAAGGAAGGGAGAAGGAAAATAAGTTGGACTACTTTGAAAAGAAGTTGGACTACTACATTTTGTTGAACTATTAACAAAAAGCTTTGTAAATTTTCAGTGTTTAATATCACATACTCTTCGATAGAACTCCTTTTTTGGTTTGTTTTTTTTTTCCCTTGATTTGGAGCCCTTCCAGGGTTTAAAGTAGGTTACAATAAACAAAATATGTCAGCTTTTTTTTTGTCTTTTTTTTCCCTATGAACTACTTTGAGCATAGAAATTCTTGTATGTGGAGACAATGAGTAACTGCTAAATCAAATTGTATGTGTTGGTTTGTATTTTAGAAAAAGCAAGTGACTTGCTTGGTGCATAAGCTTTCCAAAGTATTTATACTGGAAATGGTAATTATTGCGTATGCTCCAAGACTGCTCTTCCTGGCCAGAGTTCTGATAGTTCAGTATCTCAGGCTCCTGCAATGTGGCTATTTTTAGAAAGTTTAGAAGACTGAGCATTGCTAAATAAAAAAAAGGAGTTGATAATGAGTATCTGGATGCAGGGAAAATTAGAACTGCTAGAACTGCCTGATTCTGCTTTTGGAAGTAAGTTTGTCACTGGTCAGAATGTGACTTGTGCAAATTTTTTATTTATGTGTAAAATGTGTTTTACTAAGATAAACATATATTTAACCATGAACAGTGAGCTTTGTCTAAATTGTTTTCTGCCTTCTGGGGTGGGGTTGGTGTCAGGCTACCTGTGTCAGTGGATTTGTGGCCCAGGATTTCCCTCTGTGAGGATGGAATGAAACAATTGAAGTGGTAAAAACAAAATGTGTCTGATACCTCAGATTTTGTAGAGATGCTCTTTTGGACATAGACTCTTGGCTGAGAATGATAAATGTTTAGTTGTTGCTGTTTGAGAGGGAAATAACATTGTAGAAATGTAATATTTCTGGACATTAATCTGTGCTCAAAGGCTTAAGCAGATTTGTTGCCAGTGCAGTGCTCACATTTAAACTGATACATTTAATTTATCTGTTCTAGCAAGCTCAAGTATATAAGTTCTGAAAATATTTTTAGAAGCCTATCACTCAGGTTGATAAGGTGTTACTTTAAGCTTTCCCCCCTCTCCTTTACCAAATTACAAGCAATTTCCTCAAAGTGTGTCCTGGAGAAACGTGACATTCTAAGTTCAAACAAACCATTGCAGGTGGATGAGCTGATCTTCCTCCTGTGACTAAATGTTGAGAAGATATTAGTGTTCTTCAGGGACAGTCCTGTCTTCTGTAGTGGTTTGAAGTTCCCAAACATATATTTAATTGGAGAGAAGATTATAATGTGTCTGTTACTGTAAAAATGCACCTACCTGGCATTCCTACTAGATCACACTTCATGCTCCCTTTAGTGTTTTTATGTATCAATGAGGAAAAATTGTGCCCTGAAACCTTAAGTTTGGTTCATCTTTTTTTTTTTTTTCCCTCAAAAAATGTGTTTCTGGAATGATTAATTCCATAACAAGTGTGACATATGGGTGTTTTACACTTAGAATCTACATCTTAATGACATATAAGTAGCTTAATCTTCACCAAGAGATCTTTTTGAAAGTTTAATTTTTTTTTTTGTCTCTCAGAAAACTCCTAAACTCCTTAACCATGTTGGGCAGTTACTTAATCTGTTAAAAAGCTCTTGCATTTTCATTCTAGTACTAAGAGAGATAAGTTGGAGCTCTAGATATGCTTTATTAGTCCAAATGTGGGTTGTGTTTCTGCTGTTAAATGCATGCATTTTCTTTCCAGCTCAGGCTTGTGCAGATGTTCTGGCATTAGCCAAAGAAGCTAGAAAGCGAAATCTGGGTCCTCTTCATCCTTCCTTTAATGTGATAAAGATAATAAGAGATGGGCTGATGAGAAATCTTCCAGAAAACACGCACCAATTGTCATCAGGCAGACTGTGTATTTCACTAACCAGAGTATCAGATGGCAAGAATGCCTTGATATCTAATTTTAACTCTAAAGAAGAAGTTATACAGGTATGTTTCTTTTTGGCAACTTTTAGAAACTTCTATACCTACTTTACATCTATATTTACTTTAGAAACTTCTTTCTGCTTTAAGCATTTCAGATATTCTTATTCTGACAGTGTTTTAAAGAGGAATTCAAGCATTTTTAAACCAGATTCATGTACTGCTTTTCACAGTCATTGTGTCTGTGAACTGTTTTAGGGAGGAGGTGCAAGGGATCAGTCATAAAAAAGGAAAAATGCCTTAAAAGTGCAGCGGATCTAGCCTTAGTGAATAAGAATTCATTTTATAAAGATAAATGTTTATGTCAGCAATGGAACTGTTAACATTTAATTTTTATGCTCTCATTTTCTTACAGGCTTTAATCTGTAGTTCATTTGTCCCTATTTATTGTGGTCTCATTCCACCATCATTTAGAGGTGTGGTAAGTCTCTGTTTTTAAGATCTAAAAATAGTTCTGGCTCTTCTAAAAATATTAAGAATGCATGTGGGGTTTTTTGTTATCCTACTGTAAAGTAAATAACGTCATCATTGCTTCTAGTTCTGTAGCTGTAACAACTTTCCAAAAAAAGACAGGAACACTGAATGTGTGGAAGATATTAGGTGTATTTTAACACATGTATTTAACGCACTTATTGTCTCTGTCCCTCCTCTGCCTCATAAAATTCATTAATAAAAGAAAAAGATATAAGATAACGAGTATGTAACCTATGGATAAATATTTATTGAAGGAAGTGATGCTCTTTCACCTGCACAAATTTACAGGAAGAGTCACCTATAATTTTTGAAAAAAGTGTCTCGTAATATAGCTTACTGTGTATCTTCCTGTTCTGCCTGTAGGGATATCTGCCTTACAACTGGAATAAAAGTTCTGTGTTCAGTTAGGTGCAGACAAAGCTTTCCATTGCCTTCTGGCATTTGTATTCACTGTAAGAAAGCTTACTTTTTAGAGGCAAAATATCAGTATATTAGTAAGTTCTATTGCTTCCCAGGAACAGCTGGTTACAAAGCCTCTTAATACTTCATGGCTGTACTGGGCTCTCTAAAATCCCCTGTTTTAGAGACAAAAACTGCAGGAAAGTTGGCATGGTTTGTTGTAGATGTTATAATTACAGGTCTGGAAGCAGATCTGCATTTCAAATCAAGGCAGTGACATCGGTGGCTTTTTGTTACCCTGTTCTATTCACTTACATGTGCTTTCTCTCCACCTCTGGTCCTCTTTGCACAAGGAGAAGGGAAGGAAGAAAGAAAACTTTAAATGTCTTTGATTACACACTGTTCTCAAGGCAATTTGCAAGTGTTAAAAGGTCAATAATGGATTTTAAATGGTTTTGTGGTTTTTATTTTTTTTCTTCATGCTGAAATTTAAGCAAAAGTGATTAGAACTGTATAGGGATTTTCTTCATCTGTACTTCTAAACCTTGTATGTCTCCTTAAACTCTTCCAGATTAAAGGTGTTATGAAAACAGGACGTTGGACTACATCCAAGGTTTAGGTGGATCCAGGCTAATCTGGCTGTTCAGTTCTTGTCACCAGACAACAATGTTATTTTAAAAGGCTTAGTTCAGAGTACAAAAACATACAAGGGATGCTTTATTTGGCCATATTTTGGGGAAAGGAAGGCATAATTCTATTATTTCACTCTTTGTAATTATTTCTAGACGATTTTAATGCTTAGGAGGCATTTTTTGATGTAACTTGGTAAGAATACCACAGTTACATATGATTGGCATGACTCCTATAGGCTTAAGCACAACAGAATGCCAAAAATGTAAACTTTGGGGCATTTTGCTGTTTACTGCTTGGGATTCCTGCCTATATACTATAAAACAAAGGCTTAAGGATAACATTTAAAAGGTATATCTAAGTGCTAATTCAAAAGCTTCTGGGTGTGATGGCTTTCATTTGTTTTTTTTTTACTCCTTTCAAACACAGCAGTGGTTTTAGATTTAAAAAATGACTTGGAGGAACAGCTGAGCAGGTACTCCAAATCATGAAAATCATTTAGATCAGTAGAACAGTGACTCAGATATGTACTTCCTACTTCCACCTTTTAATAATTTCATGAGAAGGATCCTCCTTTGCCAGACCTGTTGTATTTTATTTATGTCATGAAGGACTTGGAGATTTCACTTGTACTTTAGTGATTGCATTACACACCTAAAGTTTGGCAGGAGCTGCACGCTGCTGGGTCCAGAGGGTATCCTGGGAAGCTGACAGGCCATGAACTGCCCTCTTCCTAATTCCTAATGTGTTTCTCAGAAATTCCTAATGTGTTTCTCAGAATGGTCAGGGCCTGAGTATCAGGGCAGTTGAAACTGATAATCCAGGTTGCTCCTGCTCAAATCAGTGCTCTGTTAAATTTATGTTTGACAAGGACCTACAGTTTTGGTTTGCTGCCCTTTTAGGAAGGAGGAGAATGCAGCCTCTGACCCAGCAAAGCTGGTGGTGTGGGAACAAACCAGTTCCCTGTGGCCCACTGGAAAGCTGGCTGCTGCGAGTGAGTGGAGGGGGCTGTCTGTAGCCACTGCAGCTGCTGCACTAGACAGTAGTTACCCCAAAACAGAGCACTTTGGGGCTTGGACCTTAAAATGTCTGAGGTGGTGATGTATTAAAACTACAGAAATGGGTGATTCAGTGTGAAGGAGACAAAAGCATAACCTGAAACTTGCACACGAAGCACAACAGGTGTCTGTGACTTGGCAATTTTTCTGAAGCACTGTCCGTTTTTACTCACACTTTCCTTATGTCCAAATCTTTTGTGATGCTTTTCTATCAAATTCTAATTATGAAGAGTACTTTCAAGTTAGAATGGTTTAGTATCTTGGAACTTGAACTTTGAAGCATGGAGCTGCTTCTCTCTGTGAGTTGTGCAGGATTATCATATTTAGAAAACATACTGAAAAATCCCAACGGGAATATGCTTGCACTGCCTATAGAACTATAGGTAGGAATGTTTATTGGCTTTAGAGAACAGATCATGCCACTCAAAATGTTTAGCTTGGGAGCAGCAGGCTTAAGCTACAGCCTTAAGTGCTCTTTCATTGTTGCATGGGGGACTGATGCTCTGACGTTGTCAGCCCTTGAGATGTGTTCTTTCTGCTCCTTTTTGTAGCGCTACGTGGACGGAGGAATCAGTGACAACTTGCCTCACTATGAGTGTAAGAACACCATCACAGTGTCCCCTTTTGCTGGGGAGTGTGACATCTGTCCCAAGGGCAAGTCAGCCAACTTCCATGAGATGAACGTGACCAACACCAGCATTCAGTTCAGCCTGGGCAACCTTTATCGCTTAACACAGGCACTCTTTCCACCTGAACCCAAGGTCAGCCCCTGCCTTCCTTTGCTTCATCTCTCCACATTCTCTCCACAGAAAGTTGCAGTGTCCTAGCTTTTCATCCAGTCACATAAACTTCTCTGTGGATGTATCTTGTTTCTATTTTTTCATGTTTTGTCTATGTCCTCCTTGGTTTTAGTCTCTCTCAGACTAAAAATGCATATCCAGCTACTGGCTTTCAGTATTTTTTTGGGAATTGTCACAGGATTCTACCATAAAATCAACACTGGGAAATTAACTACTGTCAGTTTGTAGTCCTTAAATGTTTGCCTGCTAAAAAATTAGAAGAAGTTCTAAAGTTTCATGGTTTTGTAAAGATCTTAATTAATACTTGTCACAGGCAAGTTGCCTTTAAACTTTGCTTATTGCTGTTAGCTGCAGAGCTGAAGAGGGAAATGCTCTTGAATTGCTGTTGTGAAAATTGGAAAAATAAAAAAAATAAAACCAGACCTTTTCAACTGGCTTGGGATATAGTACAGCAAAGAAGCAATTTTTCTGACTGCTGCAGATATATTTAAACTGCAGGCTTTTTGACCACTTCAAGACAAATTCTAAATTCTACTTATGCAGGCTTTATTTTTTTTTTCTTTTACTAGTACCCTTGTGTAGGTGAGGTGGTATTGCATCTGGTAAAAGATATTTTCATAGCAAAGATAAGTCTGAGCCTGAGCATCAGAATTGCACAGCTGATTTTTCAAAGCTTTAGGAAGTAAGAAGCACTGGGAGGGAATGAGGGGAATTGACACACTCCAAATACCCTGTTTCATTGCTGCTAGCAGCTTCTGAAGAGCTAATCAAGGAAACAAGAGGAGAGGGAAGTCTTCCAAACTGTGGGAATGCCATCATTCGGTGCATCTTTAACAGCTGAAAGTTAAGTTAATGTACATGATCACTTATTCATTGTCACAGTAGCCATATTAATCTGAATCTGCTGTATTCCAGCAATTGTTAAGGTAGCTTTTTTTTTCTTACAATAGTGGAAGGTGGAGGAAAGTGGCTCTTTATTCTGCAAACTGTTGATCTGAAGTTGAAATTTCTTTTTATTTGTCTGACTCATTTACTCTATATTTGCAGGTGCTCGGAGAGATCTGTGAGCAGGGATATTTGGATGCTCTTAAATTCTTGAAGGAGAATGGTATGTTAAACTTTCAGATAATTACTGATTATATGGTCTTAACCTAAGTTTAAAAAACAAACAAAAAGACCCCAGATCAAAACAAACAAAAAAGAGTGAGAGGATTGTGTGTAGCTAAGAAGGGGGTTGGTCTTTGAGAATTTTAGAAGGATCTTGATAGTTTCATTCTTGTAGAAATGCAACAGTTATAGTTCACCTGAAGTGAACTGTGCCACACAAAAATTGAACTTTCAGAGTTTTGTCAAATCTGTGTGAAGTAAATGTTAAGTGAAATTTCCAAAGAATTCCAGTTCTACGCAAATCATATTATTACTTGGCTTTATCTTAATTGTGCAAGATGGGTATAGGTTACTGCTTCCCACTCCTCTGGAAACTGTATCTTCTATTACCTCCACTCTGCTGTCATCCAAGTGATTTTCTGGTAGTCCAGAAGTGGGAGCTGGCTAACAACAATAAAAACTCAGTTACAGACAAACCCTCTGTGTGAGACAAGACTTTAGAAGATGACAACTTATAATGGAGCAGTTGTTGACACCCAGATAAGTTTAGGAAGAAGAATTACGAGTTCTGCTACTCTACTCCTAGAATTCTAATAACATGTTTTATATTGATAAATATTGTTGCTCTGCAAGCTTTGAGACAAACAAGTTGAAAACAGTAACTTGATATTAGGAGGAAGTCAACCATGTGTTAAATGTGCCTGGGCACTGTAGTCTTTGGATGCAGAAGCAAATTGGAACTGGGTCACAGGAATGGGAATAGAAATAGGACTTTTGCACTCTTACAGAAAGTACCAGCTGCAGGATGTGAGCAGTCATTGATGTACTCTGCTGATACCTGGTTACTGAATATTCAAGTTGTCTTGAAACAATTCTCTTCACTGAAGAACCTCACAATTCTGCTTAAAAGCTTGATTTTCTATAAGGTTGTTATTATGTGTTATTATTATTATTTAATGAGAAAGTCTTGCTTTATAGCTTTTACAACATGATTAAAAGCACAAACTCTACAAAGAGCTTCTGGTTTGTGGTTGTCTGTGCCGAGCTGGGTTCTGTTGCTGTCCTGCACCCACAGGTTTCCTGTATGCAAGTTTCCATCTGACACTAATACCTGACATTCCTTGCAGTTCTTCCTTGGTCTCTCTGCCCCATGTTCTCTCTGTATTGCACTATTGTCCTCCTTTTCACACTGCTAATCCTGTGATCAACTTTGTTTTTATTCTGTCACAGGGTTGTTTTGCGTCAAGCTTAATCAATGATAATTATAACCCTTCCAAGGTCATTCATTATGCATCACCTTTCCTATTATTTCAGCTGTAGGAATTAATTTCCCCCCTCCCCCCATCTGTGACACTTCAAATATTTTCCTTTGCTAAATTCACTGTATATTCTTTTGACACTTGTCTTTTACTAGTACTTGCAGTTAGGTTCTGTTGTATGCAGGTATAGATTCTATTCAAATTTGGTAGTCTTGTTTCATATGTAATTTTAAAATTGTTTTCTGGAAATCAAGTGTAAATAAAATTCTTGTGTTTTTCTCTTTGTATTCGTGATCCAGTGTTTGTTTCTAAGGTAGTTATCAGTGCTGTTTCTTAATTGGCACCAGTTTTGCAATGCAACCCATGTTGATTTAGATCTGTACTTTGGATACAACTGAAAAAAATATTGTAACTAGTTGCTTTCCTTTTCAACCCTTTTGTAGTAATGCCTCAAAGTGCTCATGTGATACTTGGCATGTCAAATTTCCCAAATATATGATGCATTTTAGGTGTTTTCTTTCAAATACATATTAAATCAGCTTTCCTCCTCTCCTTTAAATCCTTTGCTTTCTTGCAGGAACACAATTTTGGTAAATGACTGTGTGTTTCCAGGGCAGTTTCACTTAATTGTTCACTTTTTTCCTTCTCTTTAGAACCTGTTTTAAAGTAAGACCTAAACCTTCAGAAGGGCCATCACTGTGATTAAACATTTGTGGGATCCTAAGAGCCAGATGCATTTGACGTGGGGTAGATGATGCTGTTCCCTCAGGATAGATCTTTGCTCAGACACACAGACTTCAGGTTCTGTACAGGTACTCAGGAGACCTGTGGATCAAACCTAAGTGAAAGCTCTTGACTCTTTCAGGTATTCTGAATGACTCAATTTATATCCACTTGTCCTTCACAAAAAAAAAACCCCATGAGGCTGCACAACAACACCTTGACCATGTGAAGAGAAGAAAATTGACAGAAAATAACGGAGTAGAAACTTTGAAAATGACCAGCTTAAACGACCAGCTAAAGCAAAACCCGTGGCCTTTGGAGAAGAGCATATTTGAGAGTCTACCTCCCAGACTTCGTAAAGGTGCATGCTTCAGGCTGTTTCCTCTAACTCCGAGTGGCAAACTTTGACTTTTTTTTTTTCTTTTTTTACATTAATTCTTAGATTTATTGCTTAGGAGTTCTGGATAGTGTGTTTTGTCCCTGTGTCATGAGTCTGTGTTCCCATATTTTAAAATATCATAGAGAAAGTTTATGGTAAGAGATTAATTCTTTCATTTTGTAACTGAGCTTTATTCAGTAACACTTGATAATCTTGACTGGATATTACAAAATTCTGTGAAAATTATTGAAACTGCTTTCAGATAGTGTAACATCTTTTCCCTAATTATTATTCTTAAGCACTGCAGGAAGCTTGTAAAGAACAGAATGGGTTCTATGCTCAGTTCTCTAAACTGTTCCCCATGCGGGTGATATCCTACCTGATGCTGCCGTACACGCTCCCAGTGGAGTCTGCTTACTCGGTCGCTTTACGGTAAGGAACTTGTAAAGAACTCTTCTAGAATTATCGTCATTTTGGAAATGTGCTCATTGAGAGCTTGTTCAGTGTTGGGAGCATTCTGGGATGCAATAATTCAAACGGTAACTGTCAAAAGACCCATTATTTCTACCTATGTGATGCATCCTAAAGCCTATATAATCCAAGACTAGATAAATAAACATATTAAGAAGCTTCTTAAATTATATACTCATATTACTAATAGCTACCTTGTAATTGCTCAAAAGAAGCAGCCTTAGTTGTGCTTTCCAGGAATACATTCTTTACTATATTCTGCAGGGGTATCTGAGCTCTCTCCACATCCTTCTTGTGCTTCTTTCTGAAGTCTGGAGTGAAATCCACTGTTTACTCACCATATAAATTCTCTTACCAGTTTTTTTTAGGTTGACTGAAAGTTGTGCTCTTGAAGTAGGGCTTAATTTGATAAGTTTCAATTCTTGTCAAGGAGAAGTTATGCTCAATTCACCATGAATTCTAATCTTTGTGCTTGCTTAAGAAAATTCCAGTCCTTGAGCAGCAGATGTCATGACTATCTTTAGAAAGTCTTCAAAAAATAGTTCTGGTAATCAAGTCATATAGAACTCCAGTGAAGTATTTTGTTTCTGTGCCACTGAATGTGGCACTTCCATGCCATTTCTGGTGGATGGGGAGGCAGCAAGTTTCTCCAGATGTCTCTGTCTGTGGGGTTTTCCTCCTTGTCCCACGCTGATGTTCCTGACTCCTGTTAAGGGGTATCATAAAGAAAAAATGTACAATTGGTACATTATTATTGTTTTGCCTTCTCTTTGTTCTCCCATTATGCTTTTCTTTTGTTCTTCGTCTTTTACCTTGCTTTAAAGTGAGCAGAAAGTTCCTACCACAAAGGTCTTGGAGACAGGAATATTATGCAGGATTCCTGTGCTGGTCACAGGGTGTGGAATGCGCACACTGGTCAGCCACTGAGAGATGCAGTGATTTGTGGTGCCCCTTTTCTTAGCTTGTAGAAGAGAGGTGAAAGGGTTAAAAGGGAATTCAGAGAGAAGAAATAGACACCTTGGTTAGGGGAGTTGATTTGGGGAGAAAAAAGCTGTTTTGGATGTGGGACAGGGTGTGTAAAAACATAACTGAGATTAAATCTCCTGCTTACAAAAGCTGCATTTTGGTTTTGCCTGCAGGTTGGTGAATTGGTTTCCTGACATGCCTGCTGATGTTCGATGGATGCAGGAGCAGCTTTTTCGGATTGCTGCCACAGTTTATGCCCAGGCTAAAAGCAGGCTGTTCTGTACAGCCAGGTAAAGTACAGTGCTGCTGCATTCAAATGATGCAGTTTTAGAAAGTCTCTATTTTTGAAATCAGTTAAAGTCTTTTCTTGAATAAGAAAAGCCAACACTAGTTGGCCTTTGAGGCATCTCTCTGAGCAAAAATGTACCTCTGGGTATATATTTGCTATTCATCCTACTGTCCTCTCCTCAGTTACTTGATAGCACATGTAATCCAGTGTTTTTTCTTCCTTCTTAGTGATATTTCTGATTCCTTTCCGCAATATCTATAGGTTGGATATTAGGAAAAAAATTTTCATGGAAAGAGTCATAAAGTTCTGGAATGGTCTGCCCAGGGAGGTGGTGGAGTCACCATCCCTGGATATGTTTAATAAAAGACTGGATGTGGCACTCAGTGCCATGGTTTAGTTGAGGTGTTAGGGCATGGATTGGACTCACTGATCTTGAAGGTCTCTTCCAACCTAGTCGTTCTGTGAATTCTGTGAATAAATTTGGGGATTGCCACCTTCCTGCTTTTACCCTTATTTAGCAGTCTCTCATATTCCAGTTTTACCAATCCTGAGTCTCTTAATCTGAGTCAGGCTTTGGGAAGACACAGAATCACAAGTTTGTCTCAGAAATAACTTCTAAGAGGGGTTCTTTGCTCACTGCATCACGATTAAACAGAAACATGGTTTTCCTTGTGGAAAAGCAGCTCAAGCAGTGTTGAAGTGTCTGTGTATGGCAAGTTGAGGTATTTTTGTTTGTGAGAGGGGTTGTGGCATGTTGTTTTGTTGGGTTTTTGTTGTTTGGAGTTGTTTTTTTTTCCCAAAAGCACTGCAAGAGAGAAGAGAAAACTTTTTTAAAAAATAGGGTGTTCTTGGCTAAAACTTCAGTTTCCTGTTTCTCAAATTGGGAAAGGCTTACCTGGTGATTCAAGTGCTGGTTTAGTGTAGACAAGTTCTGTTCCAGTTGGTCAGGTTAGTGATAACAAGCTGATTGTAAAGTTGAATGCAGAGATGGCCTTTGGGAATATTTGCTATTTGTAAACATGACAAAAATGCCATTGAAACACTAATAATCTCCTTCCTTATTTTTTAAACAGGAAAGACAATTATGCATCACTAAGAAAATGTCAGACTGTCCCATCTACTGTGGAATTTCGTTCTTCATACTGCCACCTTAAAATGCCTCACTCTGCTGCACACATTGAGAGCTGGCTCTGGGAATCTTCATGCTTCATGCAGTCAGCTATGAAAAATGTTCCTGCTGATATCCAGGAGCAGTCTGACTTGAAGTCCTATCCTGATTTCCTCCCAAATCCTGATGAATCTGCATTGGAAATAGATGTTGACTCTTCCTCAGAGACAAGTTTCCAAACTGCTCCAGAGTATTAATAGGGAAGTAGATCCCGCAGTTTCCAAAATTGAAATTGGGGAGAGAAAATTAAAACCTAGACTAGGGATCACTTTGTTTGTTGCCAATAAGTCTTGGGAAATTACTTGTTTACGGCTTCCTGACAAATCTGCCTTGGGACTCTTACTGTTTTAAGGATTATAAAAACAGTGGCTGCTATACTAAGTAACAGATTATAGCTCTGTCAAAGCACCAGCTCAATCAGCTCTGCTAAGACTTGTAGTTAAACAGTGTCTCTCTGGAAATAAATCTTTTTAAAAATTCCTTCCAGCATAAAAATATAAATTCTGTAAACAGATTGTTAGACAAACAGGCATAGATAACAAAACATTTTTTTAAATGGAATTCTTAACAACATTATGTGTTAGGATTACTTTTATAGCACTTAAATGAAATTGGATTTTTACTCCCTTAAGAGGAATACACAAGTGAGTTTCTTAGTGGCCTCCAGTGTCCATTTGCCTTATATTTAAATATACTGTTGTGTTTATGGAAAGTTGTCTGCAGAAGATACTGTAGGAACAATATTATTCTAGGTTGTTGTATGTACTCTGCAGTTCCTATTACCTTTTCTCTGTGTCTCTTTCTCTTCTGAAATACTTCAGGCAAAAATGGCATGAGGAATGGGACACCTTCCCCTGAAGTATAAACAAGTACACTTTCAGTGACTTCAGAGGACTTTTTTTTTTTTTTTTGGAACTTAACATAAAGGCTTAATACTTGATCAGGTATTGAAAAGTAGGTAAAATAGTGACTGTGGTTAGTAGCAAGCAGCATGTGGAGAAGGTGTTAAACTTTACAGAAGATGTTAACAAAAATCAATTTATAGCAAGTGGTGAATGATGTTTAGGTTGTCTCTCTAATTGTTTTTGGGGTATTTTTCCCCTCCAGTTTCAGAGATTTTTCTTTCCTTCTTTCACTTACCTGTTGCTAAAGGAAGAAAAAGAAAGGTGTCCCTCCTGTCTCAGTGAGGTAGGATGACCCAAAGGAAGTTTCCCAAGACTGTCAGGCACAGCAAAAGTGTAAGGCTTGGTGGAAGTATCAATATTCAGGGAGCTCTGCAGAGGTCTCAAATAATAGGTAGAAAATTTAGCCAAATCATACCTCTATTGAGAAATGGCAGCTTAAACCATTTCCACTACAAAGGTTCTGCATGATTTTAACAAAGACAATGCATTAGTGGAAGAGGGCATCTGGGAAGGAAAGTAATGTTAGGATTAATTGCTGTTCTCATGGCTTATCAGGTCTTGTACAATTTTTGAGTAGAAGGAAACAATAATGGCTTTAAAGTTGATTTGCACATGTGTTTGGGGGGAGCATGTGACCTTGGGAAGCTTTTATTTGAGAGGGAATTCTGTCCAACCCAGGGAAAAGCTGCTTGAGGACCTCTTGTTCAGAGAAAGGGGTTGGATTGTGATGCTCAGGAGCTGGAATATGGGAGTGTGAGCTTTGGGCAAAATGTAGCACTTGAATTGGGCCTGCCTTTCAAACAGTCTCTCAGTTGTGATTTTCCTAAGCTCGGAGTGCTGCATTTTACAATATTCAAATGGATTTTAGGTTGGGGATGAAGTGCTGGGCTCTCTATTTCCGTACTCTACAAGGCTGGTGCTACTTTACTTCAACTCTTCTGTTCATTTTTTGGGTGTATATATCATCAGACTTGCAAGAAAAAATGTTGGAATTGTTACTCTAACTACAATTAAAATATATAAGATCTGTTTTAAATTGTCTTCATTCATTAGTTTACAAGTTTGTTTTAGAATTAAATCAGGAATGCCAAGTTTTGCTTCTGGTCTTTGTTGGAATACTTCTATTAACTACATTTAAATCAACCTTAACCACTTTTTCTGTTGGGCACAGTTCCCATTTTGTCTACTTTTTCTAAAATAAAAACACAATCTCTGTTACCATGGTCTCTGAGCTTTCTTGAGTGTAATTCACCCTGAAGTTTTGAGAGATGCTTGTGCATACTCTGGCTGGACCTGAATGTCACCTCAGTTTAAAATTTTGTGGGGTTTTTTGTCTTTTCTTGGTTTTTGATGGGATTTTTTTGCTTTCTGCAACCAGTTATTTTACAAATACCTTGTTGCATTTAGACAGAAATAATTAAAAACCAGAGAAAGTTGGGTGTGAAGGGAGAAGAAAAGGGTGCATTTGTCTCTGAGCTAAAACTAACTTAGCAGATAACGAAATATAAATAAGATAATGAAAACCCATTAAATAATTTGTTCCATTAATAATGCGCTAAAATATTTATTTATATTTAATATATATATTTTAAAACATACATAAATTATATCAGTAATGTAAAGTATAACTAATATATAATAACTATATTATCTATAAATATACAAATATAAAAATGACATACAGAAATAGATATAACAATTTCATGGAATGTAAAATAGTAGTAGTAGTAATAATAATAATGATAATTACAATACCAACAATTTTAAGTAATTTACAACATGAGCTTTCAGTTTCAAGTGCCCAATCTGCTTTCCCAGGTTTGGGACAAATCCCATGGGTTTGGGATGTAACACGTGCGTTTGGGGTGAATTCCCCGGGTTTGGGGTGAATCCCGTTGGTTTCGGCTGACACAGGTGGGCTTGGGGTGAAACAAACACGTGAGTTCAGGGTGAATTCATGGGTTCAGGGTGAAACTGTAGTATACGATAGAGATCATTCATGCTATTTATGTATAAAATGTAAAATCCAAGCTATGTCTTCGACCACTGGGCTGGGAGCAGAGTCTTATATTTATTCAATTAGCTCCAGGACAACGCTAAGATAATATCAAGTGTGTTAACGTATGAATGGAACCTTCCTGGGCGACGATTGCTGACTTTCCTGGAATGTCAGAACCACTCAAGAGGGACCTGCACCTGGGAGATCGCATCTACCACACTCAAGCACCGGTGCCACTCTGCTACATGCGAATCCAGGCTCTTCCAAAGTGTTCAGACAACCATCGAGACACCTGGATTCACTTTTGTCTATCCCTGCACATGTATGGCCCCAGTTCTGCATGTGAAGGGACACAAAGGAACATTCAGTCATTTCTGCCTCAGGCAGAATAAACTGTATATAAACTCGCTGCATGAAGCAGTCGGGGTGAACCACTGGGGAGATGCTGACACTTCGTCGGTCGGATCCAGGTTCACCCAGCGCCGGGGTTGAGGCTGCCTTGGCTGTGGTGGCTTTTTTCCGAAATTCTATTTTGTTAACGATCTAATAAATCATTGCTAAATTTTCTTATAAATTTGGTTTCTGATTTGATCATTTATAACAAAATGAACACGTGGGTTTGGGTGAATCCCCTGCGTTTGGGCTGAATTCCCCGGTTTTGGCTGAATCCCGCGGGTTTGGGGTGAATTTGCCGGGATTGCCCCCCCCCCCCCCCGGGTTTAGGGTGAATTTCCCAGTTTTGGTGACCCCCGGCCGCAGGAAGCGCTCCCTGGCCGCACCCCTTCCGCCGTCCCGACCAATGGGCGCCGGGCGCGGCCGCCTGTCATGGCCGCCCCCACGCTGTGGCCCTGAGCGCCCCTAGTCCGCCGGAGCCGCCGAGGCCGCGCCCGCGCCGCCGCCGCCGCCGCCATGGGCACCGTGCACGCCCGGGTGAGCGCCGGGGCCCTGGGGGTCGGCCGGGGCGGGACCCGCCGGGGGTGGGACCCGGGCAGCCGCCCCGGGGCCGCCCGAAGGTCGCACGGCCCCGCGCTCCCCGCCGCGACCTTCGGGCCGGGCACGGCGCGGCCGCGGCCGGGAGCGGGGCTGCGGCCGCGGCTGCGATCGGGGGCCGTGTCCCGCCTCAGCCGCTTCGCTCCTCCGGGCCCGTCGGTTGTGGCACAGTCGGGCCGGGGCAGAAAGAAGGGGTCGGAGCCTGTGCCAGTGCCCGGAGGCGCCTTCCCTTCCCAGCTCATTCCTGGGACTTTTATAGAATCAGTGATACTGACGGCTTGGAAGCGGCCTTTATGGTCGTGTGGTGACACGTCCCCGCTGCCATGGGCAGGGACATCTTCCTCTATCTCAGGCTGCTCCAAGCCGCAACCAATCTGGCCTTCCATGTAAGGAGTAGCCACAGCTTCTCTGGCCAGCCTGTGCCAGGGCCTCACCACCCTCCCAAAGGAGATAAATTTCTTACTATTTTTCTCCCTATAGAATACCTGGGTCTTTTTCAGAGAGGCTGAGGTTTCCCAGAGCTGACCTACCCAGCGGTTGGGCTGGTAAGAACGAGGCTGGGGAAATGAAAACAGAATAAAAACGACCAAAACCAAACAAAACCCAAAACCAACCAGCTGACAAAACACAGTGCAAAGAGAAGTGCCCTTGGTGAGACTTGGAGGCTGGAGCCTTGCATTGCTAGGAGAGGGCTGAGGGGCCTCATGCCTGAAATCATCGTGAATATGTGCACAAATCTCCAAATCCATCTACCAGTGCTTAAAGAAGAAACATAGAGGTCTAAGTGGTCAGTTTTAAGGCTGAAGAACAGCTGCAGGGAGCTGCCTCCAATTAAGGCTCTAGAGTATGTAAATACTGTGACTAATGTAATTTCTGTTTCAAGATTTTTTGCTTGCATTCTTTGTTTTGTGTCCATCTGTGGTGTGAACTGCTAGACAATATTATGTGGATACAAAGTGTTTCACACTTGTCTGAAATTGTGTGGCAGTAGTAGAAGCTTCCTTTGACTGGATTTTGATATGCAACAGCAGTTTACTATTCAGGAAAGCAGCTATTCTGATAAGTCTTCTTTTAGGGCTCTTTCAGGTATAATAAATAAAGCCATGTTGTGTTTCATTAAAGTGTTTGGCTCTGATGGTCAGAACCTGAGGTTCTCAAGCTGTATTTGAAAAGAATAAGGCTAAAAATAAAAGAAATACTGAAATATAAAGGCAAATAAATACATGCAAAGCAAAGTTAACATTCTGAGAAAACTCTTTTTATTTTATTGTTTGACATTCATAGTCTTCTGCCTTCTAAAACC